GGGGCTGCCCGGGGCTCTCACCCCTAGTCACTCCCTAGGCCTGGGGCTGCCCGGGGCTCCCGCCACTGGTCACTCCCTAGGCCTGGGGCAGCCCGGGGCTCTCACCCCTAGTCACTCCCCAGGCCGGGGGGGGGCGGGGCTCCCGCCACTGGTCACTCCCCAGGCCGGGGGGGCTGGTAGGGTGACCAGACAGCAAGTGTGAACAATCGGGACGGGCTGGGGGGTAATAGGCGCCTATATAAGACAAGGCCCCAACTCTCGGGCCCGTCCCTATGAAATCGGGGCCTCTGGTGCCCCTGGCTGCGGGGCAAAGCGCCGCTGTGGCTCTCCCGGGCACGGGGCCGAGCGGCCGGCCCTGGCTGGGGAGACCCCACCCCCACCCCCGGCCCGGCCCCACCTGGTCCCGACATCCCGCCAGCAGCTCGGGGAAGCGCCGCAGCCGCTCCCGGGCTCGCAGCCAGACCCCCTGGCCTGACATCGCCGGGTCCCTACTCGCTGGGCGCCGCCATGATGGACCGGGCTCTGATAGGCTCTTTTCACTGCTCGTCAAACCTCCTAGCACTCGCCCATTGGGTCCGGCTAACGACTTCCCACTGATGGCCTCTGAAAGGTGCAGCTTCCTGTCCGTCAGACCGATCTAGGCTCTGGATTGGTTCCTATTAAACACCGCCCCATCTCGCCCTCTCACGGCCCTGTCCTACCCAGACGAGGCTTTGGGTTGGTTACGAATAACGCCCACCTTCTTTGTTCCTTCTGATTGGTCCCTTGTCTGACACGGGAGCTTCTGATTGGACGAGCTGCCGGTCATTTACTGCCCTTCTCTCATGCCTGCGTCGGTGCCGTCAGTGGGGCCGGTCGCTTCCCCTTGGGGCCCCACCCTCCTCCGGTGCTGATTGGTTGAGCTGGGAGGAAGTCGCACTGTAATTGGCGGGCAGGGGTTCCGGGGGGCGGGAAGACGAGGCCGGGTGCAGGTGGGGCAGGGCGGGATGAGCGCAGAGAGAATCATGGCGGCGCCGCTGCGGGACCGGTTGGGCTTCCTGAGCCGGGTACGGGGGCCGGGCCGGGGCTTGTCGCTGCCGCTGTTCGTCCCGCCTGGGGGGCCGGCCTCAGCCGCCTTATGGGACAACGGGGCGGGACTGGGCCGGGGAAGAATCGCGCGGGGGGGGGTTTCCTGAGCGATGATGTCACCACGCTCGCGTGATGTCATCGCGCCCCGACGCCTCTGTGACGTCATTGCCACAATGAGGTTCTGTGGCGTCACTACACGCTTCCTCCGCAGTTGCAGTGATGTCACTACCCCTGGTGTTGCCTGGCGCTGACCCTGCCCCACCAGTGGCTGCGCTGGGCGGCCCCTGGCTCGGGCTGTCCCCGGGCGCCCCGGAGGAGAGACGGGCCGTGCTGCCTCCCGGCTCCGCCATTGCGCTGTGAGGAGCCTGGGTTGTTACAGGCCTTTGGTCTCCGGCGCGGGGGAGGTTAAACGCCTTCTCCCCAGGTCTCGCCTGGGCCTGGCTGATATTCCACACGAACAAATTCAGGATCCCGCCCCATATGGGAGGACTAAAAGCTGCGTCCTCCTGGGCTTTCCCTGGGTGGCCAGGCGCTGAGTGTGGGAAATCTCTACGATCCAGGGCCCGCGTGACCCCACCTGGTGGTGCTGGGACAAGAGGGGACTTGTCCAGACTTTGCCCATCTGAGAGATTGTGCTGGCAACTGCCTGGACCTACAGTAACGAGCCTCTAGTGGAGCAGAAGGCAGGTGCTTTCACCTGGGGGTGGGAGCTTGGAGGTGACCAGGCCCAGCATGTGATGCTCCCTCTGGATCTGAGTGGCAGAGCCTGGGACCTGGAGTCTCTGTGGAGCCAGGCTTTGACCAACGTTTCTCTAGGGCTTCACGTCTTGTAGGGTGCGGTGTAACACGTCCTTCCCAAACCGGCTGTCCTAGCTTCCCTAGGAGGCAGCTAATGATGGCAGCAGAGAGCTGAGGGAGTTGCTCGTCCTCAGGACTGTGATGTGAGGGGCGTGGAGGTTCTCTTATGTCTCGGTGGATCGTGGGGACACGCATTGGAGTTGTGGGCGTGTGTGGGGGACGGGACGGGACGGGGGCAGATGTTCTGTTCCAGCTGATATCTCATGCGCCTGGGGACAGCGTTAACAGCTGGGGTGAGATGTCAAAAGGGGGCTTGATGGGTCCGCCCCTCTACCCCTGATTGGACAGTGTGGGCTTGGTCTCTTTCAGCTGCCCACTCTGATGAAAGGCACCTCGGATGATGACGTCCCATGCCCTGGGTACCTGTTTGAGGAAATCACAAGTATCCTTTATTCCCAGTGTAAGGCTGGGAAGACAGCGTTGGAGCTGTGTGCGAGAGAGGCGCGATAAGAGACTGTTGCGAGTTTCAAGGCCAGTGTCAGATATTTCTGTTACTAAAAGCAGGGATCACTAGTGCTTTGGAATCGCACTCCATGGTGAGAGCGTGGACTAGTGGTTAGAGCGGAGGGGGTGGGGGGACAGGTTGGTGATCTGGGTTCTCTTCCCTGCTCTGATACTCCACCTCCCTGTGCCTCAGCTGTGCTCGGGAGAGAAATCAGGCCTGACTCTCTTCCTGGGATACTGAGAGATGGATGGACGTGTGCAGAGTGCTCTGAGATCTTCGGGTGCAAGGAGCAGAGAATGTAGAGGGACTGTTCTATTGTGAATCCCAGCTAGAGGAGGCAGGTGCAGCAGGTTTAAGACCCTGGTATTTTGGAGGGTGGAGGGGGACTATGCAGTGGGGTGGGGGGGGCAGGGCTTCAGTGGGGCAAAGGTGGGAGGGGAGACCCGCTGTTCTTTGCTTAACTGTGATGAAGCTGCATTAGCAGTGATCAAGGAGTGGGAATGGCTTAGGGACTGGCAGGATCCTTTGACCCTTGGAGTCCTCGGCCTTTAACCTGACATCAGCTGCTCATTAGTAATAAGACTGGAGTGAGTGTCACTTCTCTAACACTGCATCCTCCCAGAGATCTCCTACGACTCCCCAGGGAGCAGCCAGTGCCTCCTGGAGCACCTCCTCAACCGACTGCAGAATAACTCCTGTCACGTCAAGCTGAAGGTAACTGAACAGCTGGGCGCTGCCAGGGGGAGCGCAGTACCAGGGGCTGTCCTTAGGGTGCAGGCGGGAGGGAGGCAAGAGCTCGGGGGTGCCAGGACCTCCATAAGAACGGCCACACTGGTCAGACCAAAGGTCCATCTAGCCCAGTATCCCATCTTCAGGCAGTGGCCAGCCAGGTGCCCCAGAGGGAATGAACAGAACAGGCAATCCCAAGTGAGCCATCCCCTGTCTCCCATTCCCAGCTTTTGGCATAGCCATTGATGGGCCTATCCTCCATGAACTTATCTAGTGCTTTTATGAAGCCTGTTATAGTCTTGGCCTTCACAAATCCCCCGGCAAAGAGTTCCACAGGTTGACTGTGCATTGTGTGAAAAAAATACTTCCTTTGTTTGTTTTAAACCTGCTGCCTGTTAATTTCATTTGGTGACCCCTAGCTCCTGTGTTATGAGAAGGAGTAAATAACACTTCCTTATTTACTTTCCCCACACCAGTCATGATTGTATAGACCTCTATCATATCCCCCTTAGTCGTCTCTTTTCCAAGCTGAACAGTCCCAGTTTTATTAATCTCTCCTCATACGGAAGCTATTCCCTACCCCTAATCATTTCCGTTGCCCTTTTCTGAACCTTTTCCAATTCCAATACATCTTTTTTGAGATGGGGCAACCACATCTGCACACAGTATTCAAGATGTGGGCGTACCAGGGATTTATATAGAGGCAATATATATACAATCTGTTCGCTTTTTTGACTGTCACTGCACATTGAGTGGATGTTTTCAGAGAACTATCCACAATGACTCCAAGATCTCTCTCTTGAGTGGTAACAGCTAATGTAGACCCCATCATTTTATATGTATAGTTGGGATTGAGTTTCCAATGTGCATTACTTTGCATTTATCGACATTGAATTTCATCTGCTCAGGTTTGGGAATCTCCCTCACATCCTCAGCCATGAAGACCGATGCAAAGAATTCATTTAGTTTCTCCGCAATGGCCTGGGACCTGAATGTTCCCAGGAAAAGTGGGGGCTGAGGCTGGGGCAGGCGCCACCACCCCCATGGTGTGAATGGGGAGGGCCTGGTGTCAGGACATTCCTAGCGAAGTCTCTGCACTGACTCCTTCCGCCTGGGTCTTCGCCCTGCCAGAGTCTGGATCTGGTGCTTTCCATCAGCCCCCAAACAGTTCTGGTCTGGTGAGGTGCAGGCAGCCGAGTGAGTCCCCAGGTGTCCAATTCTGGTCCCCAGACTCTGCTCAGCCTCTCCTGTGTCTCCAGGTGCTGAAGATTCTGCTGTATATGTGCACGCACGGCTCTTCGCAGTTCCTCCAGCAGCTGAAAAGGAATTCCACCTTCATCCAGGAAGCAGCAGGTAACAGGGCACCTGGGCGGCCCTGGGGCTGGGCTGGGGTCAGCACCGTTACCAGGAGAGAGACCAGCCGAGGGCAGCGCTGTTCCAGCCTCGCACTGACTGGGGAAAGCACTGCGGAGGGAAAGGCCCCCAGCCCCAAATCCCGCCGGTGCTCTTGATTTCCCTGCCGCTGGCTGTGAGCCTGGTGCAGCCGTCGGGGGGCTCAGGTGGGGAGCTGCAGGAGGGGGGGTGGTACTGCCGGGTGATGTGATGACTGCCCGGCACACCCCTTTAGCTGCGCCCGTTAGACCTTACACAGCTGCACTAACCCAGCCCTTCCTCACCCTCTGCCTTCTAGTGTTCGCGGGGCCGCCAGATCCCCTGCACGGCAACAGCTTGTACCAGAAGGTCCGAGCAGCAGCACAGGTGAGTGACACCCTGCCCTGCCCAGGGGACTGACCCTGGGGAGAGGACTCTGCACAGGCCGGGGGAGTTCAGGGCACCCTCCCGCCCCTGCTCCAAGCACTGGCCAGGGATTTGCCGAGCCGGCCAGGAGCCTAGTGCCCTCTCCCGGCTGTGACTGTCCGTTCTTTCCCTGCAGGACTTGGCCGGTGCTTTATTTTCGGATACCTTGTCGCCCCTGCCCTCTGCTCAGCCCTGCAGGCCACTTCCCCCAACAGGTAAACACCAGCACCCTGGTGTGAACACTCCCCCCACCCTCCTCCCGCTCATGGCACTGCCGGGAGGTGCTGAGCTGGCAGCCCTGGAGACGGGTGCTGGGGGGGGGAAGAAGCTGATGGCAGAGCCTTATCCCCAGGGCAGGTGCAGCTCAGACAGTAGCAGGGCAAACTCCCCCCGCCCCCCGCTGCTTGTCGATGAGGGGAGTCCTGGGAAGGGGCGGTCAGGCTCCGTGGGCAGTTCACTGCTTACACTGGCTCGCCCTGTAACGACCTTGTGCTGCTTTCGTGCCCGATCGTCCTGGGAATCCCACTCGCCCAGGGAGCTGGGGAACGGTCCCTGCCCCTGCTGGCCACATCTCCCAGCTGGTGGCGCCACTGCGGCCCCGTGGCCCCAGGTGCTAAGCGCGTGGCTCTGCAGCCCACCCAGCGAGGGAGCCTGGGGTGGGAACTCAGGCAGGGCCTCTCGCATGGCAGGACAAATGCATCCTTATTGGAAGCTATGGAGGTGCTGGCAGAACAGGGAAAGCAAGGGCCCTTGCAGCTCCCGTCGGGTGGGTGCCATGGGGCTGGGCAGCGACTCACGTCAAACAGAGGGTCAGAAAATGGGGTGGGGGCTGCAAGGGGCATTAAGTGCCCAGCTGCCATGGGGAGTCAGTGGGAGTTGGCACCAGGCTCCCTTCGGCCCCTTGGAAAATCCGACCCCTAAAGGTCACCGAAGCAAGGAGCCCTGCAGCCTCCAGCCAGCCAGGCTGTGGTCCTGCCGCAGGTAGGGCTCTGGGCTGCGCTTGCCAGCTCCCCAGCACTGCTAGCATTTCCCCACTAGGGGGCAGCACCCACTGCTAACCTCATGGTTAGGGCTGTGTCGGGTCCGCAGGCCGAGTTTGGTTTAGACTAGCTGCAGTCAGGGCCGGCTCCAGGCACCAGCTTGGCAAGCAGGTGCTTGGGACGGCCACTTCGGAGAGGGGCGGCACGTCCAGCTATTCGGCGGCAATTCGGCAGACGGTCCCTCACTCCCGCTCGGAGCGAAGGACCTCCCGCCGAATTGCCGCCGCAGATCGCGATCGCGGCTTTATTTATTTATTTATTTATTTCTGGCTGCTTGGGGCGGCCAAAACCCTGGAGCCGGCCCTGGCTGCAGTTGCTTCCTGGCTCTGTGCCCCCTGCAGAGCTGGGGTTGGCTGTGTCCGGGCGGCGGGACGGGCGCCCCTGAGTGCAGAAATGGGCAGAGGGGGCACAGCATGGGGAGGGGACCCTGGAGCTCTCTGTCTCTCTCTCTGAAATGTGCTTTGTGCCTCTGGTTGTAGGAATGGGCTCCAAGCCCAGCCCCTGCAGCTCCTTCCAAGGCTTTGGCTTCACGGGCGAGAGAAGCGGCTCTCGTAAGTGCCGTCCACAGGGCCCGGCTCCGCGCCACCCCCTGCCACGTCGCCAGCTTGCGGGGGTTAGCCCACAGCTCCCAACTAGGGGGGCCAGATGTCCCGATTTTATAGGGGCCGTCCCGATATTTGGGGCTTTTTCTTATATAGGCGCCTATTACCCCCCACCCTCTGTCCTGATGTTTCACATTTGCTATCCCAACAGATGGTGCTTTTCGAGCATCCTCAGCTCCGGGGGCCGGGATTAGAGGAGGCTCTGCAGTCATTTAAAACAGGAAACCAGTTTTTAGCCCTGGTCGTGGCAGAGAAAATCTTGAGACCCCCGACCCGAATGCCCCCGTGTGCTCACAAACCAGAGGGCAAAGAGCAAGAGCCCCACGTTTCTTATGTGAAAATAAAGCTCTGGGTTTTCCAGCCAAACTGGTGATTTCTGGGGTCTGGCTCGTGGCGTTTGAATGCTCCGGGTTGGCAGTGCTGATGTGCTGCTGAGAGGCCTGGACTGAAGTGCCATAGGCCCAAAGCAGGCACTGCCCAGCCAGCAGCAGCGTGAGCTTCCCTGTGCCCAGCCCCTGCCGTTGTCTCTTAGCCCCAACCCAGGGTCCCAGGCTGGGGGTGAAAGGGCACTTCAGTCTCCCTGGCCCATTCACCCCTTGGCGTCCCCGCTGAGATGCCTGTTAGGTGCCCAGTTCGTGCCAACTAGCATTGCTCCAAATTGGGCGGGGCTGTTCTAGGCAGCTCCCTAGGGTAGCTGTGGGTGTGTTTCAGGAGGTCGGGGCAGGCTGGATTCAGAGACCACTTGTTGCCAGTGAGTGGGCAGGGTTGCTGGGCTGGGAGAAGCTCGGGCCTCCCTGAAGCTGGCAGAGACCCGTCCGCCAGCCCAACGCCCCTACAGCCCCTGGCGGGCAACGGGATCCAGCCTAATTCGCCCCCCTGCGGGCGGGGTGCCCTGAGGGTGGGAGGTAGTGCTGCCCTCAGAGTGGAGGGGGGCTGAGCCCTGCACAGAGACTCACGCCCTGGCCTCTCCTGTGCTTGCCCAGCTTCCGCCGGCGAGGCCCTGCTCGCCACCATACAGAAAGCAGCCGAGGTGGTCGCCAGCGCTGTGCTGCCCAGCCCGGAGTTCCCCCCTCCCTGCCCCAGGGAGCTGCAGGACGATGCCTACCAGCCCGTGACGGCGCCTTCTCCTGGTAAAAGCTGTGTGGTGCCTCCAAAGCCCCCTGCTCCTGCAGCCCACAGCCTGCGAGGTAGGTGTGTGGGGCTGCGGCGATGGAAAGCGGCTCCCGTGGTAGCTCCCGCAGACAGCTCTTGCACATCATCACCCCTGCTGAATTAGGGCTCCTGACACCCCGGCCGGGAGGGGAAGGTTGGTCCTACTCTAAAGATGGACACGTTAGCTTCAGTGACAGAGCTGGGGACAGAACCCAGGAGTCTAGGCTGCCAGTTCCCAGCTCCCGCTGCTGGATGACACTCCTCCATGCAGTGGTGCTAATGCCTAATGTTCGTTAGCCGTTTCCACCCCGCCCCCGGGCTCACCGCATGCTCAGCAAATCCTAGGAATCGCCACACACCGCACTGAAATGCAGCCACCTCTGGGGTGAAACACAGCTGCCATTTAGCAGCACATAACACTGTTCCACAGTCCAGGCCTGGAATAGAAGAAGAACCCTGGTTCCTACGGAGCACCCACCGTTTCCTGTATGGTGCAGGTGGAGGCTGGGTCGTGGCAGAGCTGTCTGCCAATCCCTGAAGCAGGCAGGAAGCTCTGGCTCTGGGTGACTCTCTCCTGCTGTTGCTTCTCCTACAGTGAGTCACCAGCCTGGGCAGGCAGGAGGTGGCTGGGAAGAGACGGACAGTGGGCACAGCTCCCAGAACTCCTCGCAGGAGAACGGGGAGCTGAGCAGGACCTCCGACTCCTACAGCAAATCAGGCAGCGACAGCCCCTCGGGGGCCAGCAGGGAGCTGGGGAACGTAACTGAGAGGTGAGCCGGAGGCCGTGGCCGGGGCCAGGGTGGAGAGAGAAGGAAGGGCTCTGAGCTTGTGGCAGGGGTGCTGCCGGGGTTAAAACCATTGGGCTCCCCCTTCTCCAGTATCCCTGCAAGTCCCTTAATGCGCATGGTCTCCCCTCTCGCCGGGCCCTGTTAATTCATGTCCCCTCTGGGTGCTGGGTCCCCATTTCCCCCCCTAGTTTTTCAGCCACCCGGCTCAGTGCACTGGAAGTGGGAGCAGTCAGGGAGATGCTGGGGTTCTTCCAGCCTGAGCTGCTTCACCCTGTGGGGCCAGTGCCTGGGGGCCCCTTCAGCCCCTCCTGGGTGGGTGGAGCAAAGTGACAGCACTTGGGGCTGCAGCTGCCTGTGTGCTGGGGCTCGTGGGAGGTGGCCAGGGTCAGTGACTTGCCCAAGGCCAGCGTTGGTGCGGGGTTGGGATGCGGGAGTACCGAGTGCCCAGCTCTCTCTGTGCCCTGCCGGGGGGGGCTCCTTGGGGGGCGGGGTCTTTGAGCTGGCAGGGAAGCCTGCTCACTGCCCCTCCGAATCGGGGAGCGGGGCCGGGAGCGCGTCCTCCCTCGCAGGACACAGGTAACGGGGCTGGTGTCTCCTCCCCACTGGCAGGGTGGAGGGCGACTGCCTGCAGGAGCTGAGCCTGGTGGGCGCGCTGACCAGGGGCTCCAAGGTCTTCCTGACGCGGGAGGAGGCCCAGCACTTCATCAAAGAGTAAGAGTCCGCCGCGTCCCCTCCTTCACACCCCCAGCAGTGGTGCCGGGGCTCGGGGGGAGGCTGCTTTCCCCACCCTTGCCAGGGTGCCCGAGGGGGCTGGGCTGGGTGTTCTCCAAAGCCCTCTTGCTCGCACGGGGTCCCCTGCCCCTTCCTGGGCTGGCTGATGGGCAGATCCTGTCCTCCCTCTGGATCTGGCCGCCAAGCGGAGCGGGGAGCCAGGAGTGTCGCCAAGGTGCTGCCCCACACCATTCCCCCTGGAGGGCTCAGCCAGTGACCCCTGAGGTGGTGGGGCAGGTCATGGGGCTGCTCCCTGCCATCTCGGAGAGGCTGAGGATGCCAAGCCCACCCCTGCGTGAGCCTGGGAAGCTGCATCCCGCTTGCTGCCGTGACCACGCGCTGCCCACTCTCCCCAGGTGCGGGCTGCTGAACTGCGAGGTGGTGCTGGAGCTGCTGAGCCGGACGCTGCAGGACCCCAGCCAGCTCGTCTGCATGGTGGGTGCGCGGGGGAGACGCTGCATCCACCCAGCTCACACGCGCCCTGCGGCTCCTGCGGGCACGGGGAGACGGGGCCCATTGAGCAGCCCGAGAAGCCTCAGGAGTGTGGAGGGGCTCCCCGGCTGCCCCATGGGAGGAGGTGGCTCAGGAAACGAGCCCGTCTGGGTCGTACTGGGATCTAGTGTGGGTCAGCAGTGGCTGTGAGCTGGTTCATGCCCTCGTCTGCCTGCACTGCTGGGGTGCAGCCCAGTCCCTAGGGAGGAAGGGCTCCCACGGCGAAACTCCAGCACCCCTTGCCCCATGGCTGGACTCTGAGTGACTGGGCCCTGGAGCTGGTCCCGCCTGGGCTGGGGAAACTTGCTCTGCCGCTGATGTTGGGCCCTGGGGAATCAGGGAGCTGCAGCTCTGCAGGCAGTCGCCCTGGTGCGTGTCACGGCACTAAAGCCAGCTTGGACGAGTTGCCTGCAGCTGCAGTATCGGCGTAGGTCCTGTCTTCTGAGCCTGCTCTCTTCTGTCCTTGCCAGAGGTCCATGTGTGCCATATCCTCCCTCCTGTGCTCCGACCTGCTGGCCCACGAGCAGATCTCTGGGATTACCCGGCCACACCTGCAGCAGCTCAGCCAAAGAAGTCCCGGTCCCGTGGCCAACAAAGCAACAAAGGTGACTCCTGTGTCTCACTCACACCCCAGCACAGCCTGCGAGCCCGAAGGACTGGCTCTGTGCTGCCGGGCCGGCCCCAGCTACTTCCTCCCTCCCTCCCTCCCCTGGAGCAGGGAGCACCAGAGGGTGCAGGGTCATTTCCCCTTCCCCACCCCCCCGTACTGGGCTGAACTTTGCTCCTAGAGGAGATAACATGCTTCAGGGCATCCGCTGGTGGCTGCACAGGTCAGGAAAGAAGGAATGAAATATTGCACAATAGGCCAGGTATGGTATGGGTGGTGAGCCCCCTGCAAAGCATCAGGTATTGAATCCTGCCAGGCAGGATGTCTGATCTACTGTGCATGGCACACCGCGCGCTCCTCCAGCACTCAGTGCCAGGCAGTGGGGGGGCAGCATAAAAGGGCTCCCCAAAACCCCATCCAGCCCCCCTGGGGAGCAGGCTGGCAGGGGCCGGCTGTCTGTTGCTTGTGAAGGGGTTAGTTGTGGGGCAGGCCCCGCTGTGCTGCACTGACTCCTTGCTCTGTTCCTCCCTTTCCCTGCCAGCTCCTGAGGCAGTTTGAGGCTTTGTGCAGGAGCTGCCCGTCTCCCAAGAGATCACAACCGGACACGGATCCCTCTGCTCCTGCCGGGGGCTCCCCCCAGCACACGCGTGACTTGCTGACGGACCTCATGCCTCTGGCAGGAGAGACCGTTCTCAAACCCGTGAGCTTAGCCCCTTTCCTCTCGGAGACGTGGAAAGCCCCAGCGTTCGATGCGCATCCTGCGGCCGTGCCCGCCCCTGCGGGAGAGCAGGGCACAGAAGCGGAGACCTGTGAGCAGTTTGGGGATGTCGCACCAGGCGGTCGGTGCCAGCAAGAGGTGGAGTGCAGACTAACGGGGCCTGAGCCCCAGCTGGATGCTGCCCGGACAGAGACGCTGAATGGCAGGCGGGGGGCAGCCGCATCCCCTCAGAGCCTCTCCCTGTTTGCTGGCATGGAGCTGGTGGCCCTTCCAGGCACAGCAGTAGCCAACCCTGGTGGGGAGGAATGTGCCTCTCGTGTTCCACGGACACTGCCGTGCACTGGGACTGCCAGCGCCAAGGCTCACGGGGACTCTGAGGGCAGCAGGGAACCTTCTGCGTTCTCCTTCCTCAACATGTAGCAGCTGGGGCTGCAGGACGCTGAGGAACTGGGGTCTCGCTCACTGCGTGTCGCTCTCAGGCCATCACTACAGGGGCACCGACTGGCACTACAGGGGCACCGGCTGCTCAGCTCAAAGCGAGGCCTCCCCGTTTCTCGTGGGTGCTGCCAAGTCCACGTCCTGCAGAAAGGGGCTGGCAGTGCCGGTGCTGCTGGGGAGGATCTCGCTGGGGCACAACGAGGAAATGGAGTCCCCAGTCACTCCCTTCAGTTTGATCCCTGGAGGTGCCCTCGAAAAATCCATGAGCAACCCTACAATAACAATCCAGCATGATCCCACATGGAGGGGGAGAGGGGGAATGTGCCACGACAGCCAGTTCCAGGCTGCCAAAGGGGGGGTGGGAATGAGAATCCCCTTGACTCTACCCCCACGTTAAGGTTGTGCTAGAGGTTTAAGGCTAATCATATGTGCTTGGCTGCTCTGGCCCCCTGCTTGGGTCATCCATCAGTGGCCGTCTGTAACACTGCTCAGACTAGGGCCTGGGGCACGCTGGGGAGGGAGGGGCAGTGAGTCCATATGGACTCAACCTCTCGTGCTGTGCCTCAGCCTGTGTGAATGAATTCTCTAGTAACCGGCTCAATCACTTAACATGTATGGGGGGTGGTTAATGGTACCTTGGAAGGTCCAGGGACGCTGGCTGCCTTTCCCCAGCATAGCACCTGCTCAGTCCCATTGCTCTTGGGGTAGAGAGGCATTGAGTATGGCAGTCTGGAAGCCAGGTTTCAGAAGAGCTTTTCAAGGACGGTGACGCTTTAGGACCTCAGTTGATACCACATGCCCTGCCGGCCTCGCCTGAGCTGCTGTGGGAATCTCTTTGAGGTGGTTTGGTTTTCCTACCGAGAATCTGATATTGTAGCTACTTGTTATTTGAAGGTGCTTTACACTCACACACCCCTTGGTGCACTTTAGCGGGGCTGGCAATGGAAGGGACTAGAGAACATCGACGTAGAAGCATGAACCCCTGTGTGGGGCAGCAGCCCCTTTCACACCTGCAGATTGATCTCTTGCCAAATCCTACTGGGCAAAGGGAAGCCAAATTACAGGCACAGGCTGCTTCGAGCGGCAGATTGGCATTTATTTAGTGTTTACACATCACACGCGAGTCCATCTTGCTGTGAGAGTTGGTTATGTACAAGTCTGTGTTGTCGTCCTTGGGCTTATGACATCCAGACCAGCCCACCTGTCCCCTTGGGGCAAATTTGCAACAGGCAAGTTAAAAATCCCTGGAGAAAATCCCTTTCTAGCAATGTCTGATCTGCCCCACAGGGCAGAAGCTTGGGTGGGCTCCTGCTGTGTGCAAATCACATCCTGCAGCCAGGTCCCTGCTCACAGACTCCTGCCAACATTCTTAGCTCCCGCAACCTGTCTGTGCTCTTAGGGCTGGGAGGAGGGAAGGGTCCATTGTCCAGAAAGCCTGGGAGGACGTTCCATGTTTACAGAGCATGTGGGGGGGGGGGCGTTGCTAATATGACTTTAATAAACACTAAGTTGTGTATATTTAAAGTTCCACTAATTCTCTTGTTTTGAGGTACAAAGTGTGCTTGTTTATAGCCTGTGCCTCACGTGAATTCTGCGTTCTGCTTCAGAGCACGCTGGGATGGCTTTCCTGGCCTTAGCAGTGATGGCGAGCTCAGAGGAGCGAGCAGCTACAGGCTGAAATGTAACCAAGTCTGAGAGGACTCTTCTTCCCCCAGTTCCAGAGCTACACAATCTGCTGAGCATACGTATGGTTCAGATGTCCCTGTTCAAGCATTAAGCCTCAGCTGCCTTCTAGACTACCTACACCAAAGGGCTGTCATCACATGGCAAAGCCTGTAACTTTCCCTCTTCCTGCAGCTTTGGCCACCTCACACTCTCAGCATGCCCTGGCAGGGTTGCCTTCCAGGGCACAGCTGTGCCAGCAGGGTGCAATCAGGAGGGCAGATAGTCTGTATTTCTTTAACAAGGCCCAGAACCAGGGCATAATGATCCCTGAATTCGTGCTCCCTGCTGCTGTCCAGAGGAACCAGGTTTGCTATGCACAATTAGGTTTGAAATCATTGAATTGTGGAAAACTTTCTATTTCCTGTGGAGAACGGTCTGCTGACATATAAATAGCCCCCTGGCATTCCTTCAGGTAGGCTCTGTGAAGCCTGGCACTCTGCCACCCACAGTGTCAGTGCGGGGAGGGGGCGTTGTGGGCAGCATGTGTAGTAACTGTGTTGTATCTGTTGAACTAACCTGTCTGGCTGGCAGACCTGAGAGCGCATCACAATCAGCTTCAACAATGGGACAGACAGCTATGGACTCACAGATCACTATGTTTCCCGTCACAGATCCAGCAGCCACGCCAGTCGCACCAAGGAATCTGTTCTCTGCAGCCAGGTGCGCGGATAGGGCAGCCTGTGCGCCACGGGGTCCAAACCGCATCACACATAAACCCACCTTCTCCAAACGAGGCCACTCCACCTGAGGAGCAGATTGCATCATGGAACGGGCACCTGAATACCTCAGAGAGCCTGCTTCAGTAGAGATAAATCCCCCACGGGACCTGCATGGGGCACCATCAACCGACACCCCACGCTCCATGGGGACCCCAATGGGATGGCTGCCCCCAGCCCCCCCTCTGGCCCCCCCCCCCCCCCCCCCCCCTGCCCTGCCTCACCCCTGCCCCTCCTCCCTCCCCCCCCCCACTGCCCTACTCCTCCTCACCCCATGCCATCCCCTGCCTGGCCCCTCCTCACCCCATACCCTACCCCACTCCTGCCCTGCCTCACCCCTGCCCCTCCTCACTCCACCCCCCCACTGCCCTACTCCTCCTCACCCCATGCCACCCCCTGCCTGGCCCCTCCTCATTCTTGTCTCTCCTCACCCCACACCCTACCCTTCCTCTCCTCACCCCCCCTGCCCTGCCCCTCCTCACACCACATCCTACCCCACTCCTACCTGGCCCCACCCCTGCCCCTCCTTACTCGAGCCCCTGCCCCGCCCCGCCCCTCCTCGCTCCCGGCCCCTCCTCACCCCGCCCCCTACCCCACTCCCCGCCCCGCCCCTCCTCACTCCCCGCCCCGCCGCCGCAGGAGGCCAGAGCCCGGCTAAGTCCCTCAGCGCCCCCTGGCGGGCCCTGCAGCCCCGCACTCCTCCCCTGTCCGGCCTGCCGCCTCAACCGAACTCCTCCCCGCGCGACGGGCAGCCAAACCGCCCAGTGAGAGACCAGTGTCTCCATAGCGCGCCAATGGCGTGGCTGGGGAGGCGGGCTCGCGCCCCGCCTGGGTTAGGCTGTGCCTGGGCCGGTTACTAGCGTCTGGCTCTGGCCCCTCGTTAGTTGCGCGGGGTGGGCACGGCCCGAGGGACCCTTCCCACAATGCCCCTGGCTGGGGGGGCTGGGTAGGGGCGGCGGGAGCCTAGAGCCCCTGCTGGGCGGGCAGCAGGCCCCATAGCTCCTGCTGGGGGGGGGGGGACGACTCCGGCCCTATAGCTCCTGCGGAGGGACCCCGGCCCCATAGCTCCTGCTGGGGAGAGGCGGAGGGACCCCGGCCCCATAGCCCCTGCTGGGGGGGGGAGGCCGAGGGACCCCGGCCCCATAGCTCCTGCGCGGGGGGAAGGACCCCGGCCCC